TAATAAAAAGTAAATAAGAAAATGAGTGATTTGAACTACCTTTCAGATAATTCTGGACCAGGAAAATTCTGCTCGCTTCAACAGATCAAGCAAAATAATCTTGAGCGTTACAGCCAAAAGGGGTTCAATATAATCGAAAGCAACGGTTAGTTCAATAAAGAGCGTCCAATGGAAACTTTGGTCACAATAAAACAGGAAAAAGCACTGAATCCCATTCACATGTAAGAGAAAAGCACTTGAAATGTGTCCGATAGATATGCTTCACCGTAAAAAGGGTGAAATAGAAGGTTCAGAAGAGAAAATTCACCGACATGAAAACCACTGTCGAAAGTAATGCACGATAGAATGGCGAAGAGAGATAAGAAAATTCAAGGAAATTGAGAGGAATTTTCAGTCTTTCTGACTGTTACATGAGTGACATTTCCTAGTATGACGTCCGCTGGTGACTGGATGGATCTCATCCGGGCCCGGCACCTCGTCCTTTTGAGCTCGGTCCTCACTCACAAATAGCGTCTGCAGTTCGTTTTCAATGGTATCCACCAGAGGGTTCAGGGCTCCCTCATCCTGAGATAAATGATACCTGTACGTCAACCAATGCGCACTTGAGTGACGCGTAGCCGAACCAATACGAATCCTGAAGTAAAAATAATTGATCCGCAATGTTCTACGGTACTGGATTAACAAAATCGTTACAAATGTACGATACAGCAAACCTCAAATATGCTGTCGAGAGCACTCAAGCAGGTGAGCCAAATAAGATGCCCAGAGAGAGACAAAGAGACACTCACGTTCTCAAACCACGCAAAATTCAAATGTGCCGGGCGTCGAGTTAACAGATCGATAATGATGTATGGTGTTTCTGATTGAGAAATATCAATATAGGAGCAACACACAGATGAAGTGATTTCACCATAAATCATTATTGATTCGGAAGGATTTTCAAAAAATTCAGCATGAAATACAATAGCCACTTTTGAATTAGTCCATCAGCGTCTCAACCCGGTCGTTAAATGTACTGGCTATGTTACCGTTCACCATCGTCATTGTTCCAACACTTTCACTTGTGGTTCCCTTGGACTGTTCATAGGCAAAATCCTCTTCGGGTTAGGTCGGAGCAGGTATCACAGGACTGAAAAGGCTTTTGCCAACCAAGAGTCCAGATTCTTGATCCGGTCGGAAGGTTTTTCCTCCCAAAGCTTGAAACTAGTTTCAGTCGCTATCTTGCAACTGTTTCCCGGCAAGAAACTGGTCCCCGTACGGTATCTGTAAGGGAGGTTAGTTGGGAAACAAGAAACATATCAGCTCTAAACAACCTCTGCTAAAATAAGAATGCAAAATAGGAACTCACCTCACCAAGTTGACTAATGAAATGTTGGACGTGAGCGTTCCATTACGTGCACAAGTCTTCAGTTTTCAGGATTGCGGGCAGAGGGCAGGGTGCTCGTGTAAGCCCCATCACCATTGGGTCAAAGGTCCGATCACAAGTGTTCATTCCTCCATAGCCTTTTCAGGTACTCATCCAGACGCCGTTTGAAAGCAGCGCCTGTCTTCTCTTCCAGGACAATCGCTGGAAGGGAATTTCATAGTGTTTTTGACCTACGTGAAAGTCGGTAGACTAACGGAAAACCAACTGACTGAAGTTTTCGCAACGTGAGAGAGTGCCTCCGCGTGCGGTCCTCTGTCTGTAAAAGGAAGTACTGTTACAGCTCCGGACCCATATTACCTCTCAGCTGGTTGAAAGACCGCCGAATAGGACCCATAATGCTGCAAGAGCTAGCACAGACCCGATCGGTGTTTTCTCGGGTCTTTAACGATGACGTAACCATAACACCCAGGTCTCGTTCGCACGATGTTCTGCGCATTGTGGTTTCCTGGAAGTTTTGGACTACCTCTGAGTCAGCACGCCCCAAGCACAGGTGAGCACACTTTGCTGTGTTGACTGGAAGAGCCCAGGTATCCGTCCACTGAGCCCGGTTGTTTAAATCAGCTTGAAGAGAACTTCGATCATTCGGATCCTTGATCGTACGCCAGATTTTGATGTCATCCGCATAAATGAGGGATGGGATGCACAGTTGACCGAGCAGATCGTTCACATATACCCCAAAGACCAATGGACCAAAAACGAGCCTTGGGGAACCTCACTGGGTGCGGAATACCCTGCAGAGAGCGATTTGCCAACAGGGATGCAGAATCTCCGGTCAAAGAGGAAGTCTGGCAGCCAATTCCGCATGACCACACTTACACCACACGCACGCCCTTCGATTGCCTGCACTACACTCTCGTGCTTGTTCGTCACGCTGGAATTTATTGTTTAACTCATCCATATATCAATGCTAATCATGACCAGGATCTACAAATGTACCCGTTGCGACGTGCTACGACTAAAAACGGTGTATTCCGTGCTACTCACTGATTATTTTCTAAGTGAGAGTCATAAAAGCCCTTGGATAAAAAAACGCAGACGGGTCGGATGGAAGACTGCACGTACTCGCACACCTCCTGGCAGGATGACTG